GTAGGATGTACGGCCCGTGAGGGACGCCTCACTGGGGATGAGTGTGTAGCCCAGCTTCGGGGCTGAACGTATCGGGGACGGAAGATCGAATGGAGCCAGCGGTCGGTCGGGGGGAAGGGGGGGCGGTAAACGACTAAAGAGAAGCGCACTCACGTTCGCCCTTTTCGCCGCTTGCATCGCCATCGCGACCGGTCTGTAAGAACGAGAGGCCTAGCACACAGGACCGGAAGGAGTGCACCGGAAACGTCACCACGGCGACGCACCTGCGTACTGGCGTCACAGCCCCCTTGCGCCCTGACGTCATACGCTCCCTTCAGCCGCGTGCTCCGGAGAATTGCCCAGCTCCAAGGGGTCACGAGGAGGTCACAGAGGTTCTGGGTTTCCAGGTCAATGTGGCTGCAGGGAGTCCCAGGAATGCTCTTTGTCAATGGGATTACCCGCGGTGCTGCATGTCCCTGCAACACTCCCTTTGGCAATAAGTGTACCTAGGCACTGTTTGCTCCTGGGGCATTAGCCATTCCTGGGTGCTGGGTGATCCTGGGCACTTGGGGTATTCCTGGGCATTCGATGAACACTGACTGTACCAGATACAGCTGGCATTCCTGCAGTTAGGGCCCAAGACCAGGGATCGAAGGCACGCACTAAGTTCGGAATAGGTGGCAGGTCTCCACAGCGTGTTGATTTTACAAACCTTCACAAGAGCTCTTAGCCACTTTCTCTCCGAAGAGAATCAGTGACAACTCCTTCAGTCTGTTCTCATAGCTGAAGTTCCCGATTCCTGGAACCACTCATAAAATTGCTTCTGCATTCTCTTCGAGACAGTCACATCCTTCCTATGGTGGGGCATCCAGGTCAATATACAATGCCACTTGACATCTATCTGCTCACTTTACTGAATTCTCTGTCATTTTTGAGTTCTACACTGACCTCCTCACAGTTTACAACTCTTTCAAGTTTTGTGTTATTTGCAAACTTTAAAATTATTCACTTAACACCAAGATTTAGATCACTAATATATATCAAAAAAAAAGCCAGGGACACAATATTGATTGCAGGGAATTCCACTGCAGACCTTCTGCCAGTTTGAAAATTAGGCCATTGACTATTACTTTCTGTTTCCTACTACTTGGCCAATTTTATATCCATATTGCAACTGACCTTTTTGTTCCTATGACCTATATTTTCCTCAAAAGTCTGGTGTCTGGCACTGTCTGATATGCCTTCTGAAAGTCCAGTACACCACAATGACAGTATTACCCTCATCGAGCCTTTCTGTTACCTTTTCAAAAACACCAGTAAGTTAGTCAAGCATGTTTTCCCTTCAGAAATCTATGCTAACTTTTCCCAATCAAACCACCTTTTTTCCATGTGACCACTAATTCTATCGAGAATAATAGTTTTGGAAGCTTCTCAACTACTGAGTCATGTTGGGCTTATCCTTACAACCATTCTTGAATAAGATCCTAGTGTTTGCAAATCTCTTATCTTCTGTTACCTCTCCCAAATCTAAGGAAGGCTGAAAGATTATGCAATTTTCACTCTTATATCCTTCAATATCTTTGAATGCATCTCATCTAGTTCTGGTACCTTGTCAACTCCAAGTACCAACTATCTATCCAACACTTCTTCCTTAGCAATTTTGAACCCTTCTAGTGACTGAGCTTTTTCCTTTTTCACTATGGCCTGGGGAACATCTCCCAGTTTTTCCCGTCAACCACTCATTCTATTCCAACCTGTCCAGTTCAACTCTTGCTCCACTAAAGTTGGGTCTCTGCCAATTAATTTTTCTTACTCTGATTGACTAATATCATTCTTCACAATCATCTGTAACCTTGTGATAAAATGATCACTGTCTCCTTGATGTTTGTCACTGACATTGGATCGACTTGGCCCACCTCAGTTCCAAGCACCAGATCCAACAATGCAGCATTCCTTGTTGGATTGGACACATTCTAGTGTTGGGAATACTTGCCCTTGCTGCCTCTTAGCATGACCATATCCCAGTCTAAATTTGGATAACTGAAGTCCCTGATTATAACTACTCTGTAATGTTGGCATGTCTCTACAATTTCCATGCATATTTGTTCCTTCATTAGTTGGTAGATATAAACTACACCTAGCAGTGTATCCTTTTTGTTAGATGTAGTTAAATGGATACTGTCCTTGAACCCTTTAAGAGTCCACTTTTTCCAGCACTGCAAAGTTTCTCCTTAAACAAATCTGTCACCCTCCCTTTTCTATGTTTTCTGAACACCCTGTACCCTGGAAGATTTACCAGTGAGTCTTGCCCTGCAAGTGAGCTAGGTCTCTGTTATAGCCAACAGCATCAGATTTCCACTTGGAAATCTATGCCAGTAATTGCCCAATTTATGACACTCCTTACATTTACCTATATGTACAGTAACTGATTTTGCTGCCAGTGTGACAGACTTTCTTTGATGACCGATAGCTTAAGCCACAACCCTATGTGCTCCCACATGCAGCCTGCAGGGCACCATCCTGCACTAGGTGCTATCTCCACTGTTGCAACCCGTACTACTGAATTGGAGTAAGAGTTTGGTCAGGACAGGGGTGGTGGGCTGGTGGGGTGGTGGGCTGGTGGGGTGGTGGGGTGGGAGGAGTAGGAGAATTCTGAAAGTGAGACTGGAGGTTAGTGTGGGAGGAAGGGGAGAGGAGCATCAGAGCTGCTGTCTCTGCTGTTTGTAGTGTGCGCAAGTAATAAAATGTTTCTGTATTATATATTCTGAAGAGTTGGCAGAAAAATCATACCAGACTCAATCCATTAGGAGCACTGTGTCCAGTTCTGGCCACCCTGTCATAGGTAGGATTTATTAAACTGGAGAAGGTTCAGAAAAGATTTACCAGGATGTTGCCAGGAAAGGAAGGTTAAAGTTATAGGGTGAGGCTGGATAGACTGAAACTTCTTTCACTAAAGCGTAGGAGGTGGAGGGGTGACCTTATTGAGGTTTATAAGATCATAAGGAGCATAGATAAGGTGAATGACAAGGGTCTTTTCCCTAGGGTGGGGGAGTTCAAGACTAAGGGGCATATTTTTAAGTGAGAGGGGAAAGATTTAGAAAGGACAAGAGAGACAATTATTTTACACAGAGAAAGACTCGTGTGTGGAATGAATTTCCAGAAGAAATGGTAGTTGTGGGTACAGTTACAATGTTTAAAAGACATTTTGATAAGTACATGAATAAGAAAGGGTTGGAGGGATATGGGCAAGCGCAGGCAGGTGGGACTAGTTTTTTTGGGATTATTGTCAGCATGGACTAGTTGGGTCAAATGGTCTGTTTCCGTGCTGTATGACTTTATGACACTCCACAGATGCTGTCAGATCTGCTGAGTTTCTCTAGCACTTTCTGTTTTATCATGGGTCATGAGGTACATGTTGAGTTCATATCTAGTGAGGGAACAGTTAACAGCATTCATTCACAATAGGACACAACATAATGTTATCCAGAGTTCACACTTGCATTATTTTAATATCTCCCTTGATTGGTGACTGCACCGTTTTAGGTGCATTCAGGTATACTTACTCAGTATATGGACTGCAACTTACCGATTTTAATGTTCTTAAACATGCAATGTAGAAATGTGGACTGTTAAGATTATGGATCACCACTGGATATGTTAAACTTTTAAATACAACATTTTTTGAAGAGGGGTTAAAGCTAAAGTGACTGAGAATATAACTTCTGTGCAATGTAGGTCTGGAAAGCCTGTGTGGGTTATTCTCAGTATTGAAGGAAACCCAGAAATGTCACAACTGATGAGTGTCAAGAAAGTTTCAAAGAGAAGGACTTCAAAAAGACAAAAAGGACTACAAATTGAACTATATTCCAGCCTGTAAACATGATAGGAGAGAGCAGTGTGGGCGAGAAACGTATTTGGATTTTCCTCTTTCATGAATATACAAACAATTAAATACCGATTCCAACTCTAGTTTATGTGTTCCAGTGGGTGAAGGCGTGTTCAGTGACGGCCACAGCTGTGAAAACCTTGAGTCACCCCTGAATTTAAGGTAAAATGAAAATAAGTCTCCTTTGCTAGAAAATAGAAAGCAAGCAAAGAAATGGAACAGGACAAAGGTTGCTGAGCTGATCTGCAAAACCAAGTATCTCAAAATCACCAATTTGTCTACCAATATCAGTGCTTCTTGTATCACAGAAAATAGGAGCAGGAGTAAGCCATTCAGGCCACTCCTCCATTCAGTATGATTATGGCTGATCATCCAACTCAGTACCCTGTTCCTGTTCCCTCCACATACCTTTAGCCCTAACAGTAAGTAGCATAGTGGCACAGTGGTTATTACACCCCTTGGGAGGAGGTGGGATTTGAACCTGGGTCACCTTGCCCAGAGGTAGGGACATTAACACTGCACCACAGAAGCTCCCAAACTATAATGGAAATACTTGATTGGAAGCAGCTCCACAATGAAGATTCACTAGATTGATGCCTATGGTGAAAGATTTGACTTATAATGAGAGAGAATTGGCTCAGTGATTAGCACTGCTGCTCACTGTGGCAGGGACCCAGGTTTAATTCCAACCTCAGGCAACCGTCTGTGCAGAGTTTGCACATTCTCCCAGTGTTTGCGTGGGTTTCCTCCAGGAGCTCCAGTTTCCTCCCACAGTCCAAAGATGTGCAGGCTAGGTGGATTGGCCATGCTAAATTGACCCATAGTGTTCAGGGAAGTGTAGATTAGGGGATGGGTGTGGATGGGATGCTCTGAGGTTTGGTGTGGATTTGTTGGCCCAAAGGGCCTGTTTCCACACTGTAGGGATTCTATGATGATGAATGTTCTCTCTAATTTTTCTTGCCAATGCACAGCCCTCCAAGGCACCAACTTCTGAAATTGGAAGTTGAAAATCAGCACACCATTTGATCTGTGCAGAGCTTAAAGAGAACATAGATGAATGGCTGAATAAATTGGGCTTAAACATTGAGAAAACATTTTTGAGAATTTGGTTAGAAATTGTCTTTAACCACCAGCTAAAAGACAGATGAAAATACTTCCTTGCAATAAAAGTAGCTTTATTCACAATGCAGCCAAGATGTACTTTTGGATGATTTGACAGGTTGTGAATTTTCCTATTATAATTTTAAAGATTTACATGGAAGTTGTATTTACACTATAGAATTCATCTTGTTTACATTGTCCAGATAAAAATCTCTGACTTAGGATATTTAGATTTCACAGCAGATCATAAAATATTTGTATTTTTTCAACTCCTCACACTCTTATGTCGGTGCTGCTTTGGCACTAGAATATGGATATTATT